TTTTTCATTTTTCTTAATTTTTTCTTAGTTTTTTTAAATTTAAGTTTAAATGAAAATCGGTTTTTTTCGAAAGAAAAGTTGTAGTTGACAATGAGACGAGTACGATAATTTTTTTGTTTCTTGAAATTAGATAATTTTCCAGTGGGTTACAGCGTTCCAAAGTTTATAATTTAAATAAAAAGTTTCCACGCCCATAGAGTGTATGTATGCGTTTTGTGTCACCGAAGTACCCTCTACCCCTCTTTATGTGTGTATGCGTGTGTATGTATCTATGCGCGCGCGTATGTGTGTGCTGTTAAATAGAATCAGTCCGGATAACGGAAGGAAACACACGCGCACACACAAATACACATACACAAATACACACATATACATACATATAGAGATAGAGGGAGTTTGGAGTACAAATATGTACAAAATATGTAATCATGAAACATTTTAATATATTAGGTGTTTCGGTTAATTCCGCTGTTTGCCTTTAGACGGCTCCAACTGTAAATGTAGTGAACTGTGACAACTAGTACTTATGCTATATTAAAGGTTAGACGTTTTTCAGTAGAATTCAATCCACCAAGGTTTATGTTTGTATGCAGTGATATTCTTTTTAAATCAATTCAAAATTAAACGCAATAAGTTGTTTTTTCAATATGTTCTCCACTACTTTGATATATAAGAAACTGCAACTAAAGCGCATCGAATATTAGTGGAAACTTATGGTGACTCTGCTCCATCAGAAACAAGTTGTACAGATTGGCTACGATGATTCAAATGTGGTGATTTTGATATAAAAAACAAGGAAAACAAGAAATAAGATCCAGATCAGCCAAAAAAGTTTCAAGACGCCGGACTTCAAGCATTATTGGACCACAATGAATTTCAAACACTCGAGGAATTGGCTGAGGCACTAAATATTGCAGTTCCGACAGTTTCTGACCGTTTACATACGATGGAAAAAATTTAAATGCAAAGGAAATGGGTGTCACATGAACTGGCCGAAGCGAACATGCTGACCCGTGTACTCATCGTCACTGCTCTAATTGCCAGAAAAAAAGAGTTTTTTGTATCGAATTGTTAATGGTGATGAAAAGCAGATTTATTATGACAATTCTATACGCAAAAAATCATGGGTAGTCTCATTTTTCTACCCGCGGGTAGGTCTACCATCCACATCGTCGCCAAAACGTAATATTCATGGTCATAAGACATTGCTGACCGGTACCGATAACAATTTATACTGTTTGAAGTTAGCTATCAAAAACGACCACAAAATGCACACGACAAAAGAAAAGTGATTTTGTTGCACGACAATACCAGGCTATATGTTGCAAAAGTCGTCAAAGAAACACTGACAGAATTCGAATGGGAGGTTTCCGCATGCCGTGTATTCTCCGTCTGATTATCACTTGTTTCGTTTAGTGCAGCATAGCCTTAAAAACGTTTTCGAAATTATGAAGAAATCCGAAAATGCATAGATGAATAGTTTGCTTCAAAATCTGAGTCGTTCTATTGCCGTGGAATTTATCTTTTACCAGAAAGATGGGAAAAAGTAATACGAAACGGAATGCGGAAAATATTTTAATTAATTAATCAATACATTTTGAAATTGAAATAAATGTGTTTTTCAATCAAACAAAGAAAAACAGCGAAATTAACCGAAACATCGAATAAAATAACAATAATAATAAAAATATTAATTATTTTATGCACAACAGTAATTATATATTTCAAATTTATCTTTATGAAAAATTATATATACAGGATGTCCCAGGAGGAAAGGTCAATATTTCGCGGGGATATAGAATAAGGTAATATAAGGCAAAAATGTTATATAAACATGGTGTCGTTTATTACTGATTTCCGAGATACAGCTATATTAAATTACACGTCGGAATAGTCTAATATGAGTTGAAGTTTACTGCAATTACATTGTAATACATCTATCATAACAAATTTTCGAATATTTCGGCCCGTACTTCGACACATTTGTCACATCTTGTGAGAACGTGGCGGGTTGCGCGCCGGAGAGCATCTTCCTAGCCCCTAATTTGGTCAACAGCGACTATTACACGTGAAATAAGTTCATTTCGTGTATTCACTTTAGTTTTATACATCTCGCACTTTAACCAACCCACAAGCAAAAATCCAAGGGAGTTAGGTCGGATGATCTTGGTGGCCACTGCACTGTTCCACTGTGACCGATCCAGCGATGTAGATCACTGCATTTAAGTGATCTCTCACAAGATGTGTGTTATGAGGAGGTGCTCCGTCGTTCTGAAAATACATTGTTCTTCGTGTAGCCAGAAAAATATCTTCTAGTTGTGGAAGCGTATTTTGTAAAAAGTCGAGGTAACTCTACCCTGTCATACGATTTTGTAAAATAACGAGACCTATCAGCATTCCATCAATCATGTCACACCATACGTTGACGGAGAAACGAATTTGGAAATTCTGTACAACAATGGTGTTAGGCTTATCTTGCGACCAACGATGAGTGTTACGCGTATTATTTGTGCCATTACGCGTAAATGTTGCCTCGTCGGTGAAAAGTATGACGGGAACCAATTCACGATGATTCTGTAGTCACTGGCAGAACTGTAGACGTGTGGCTCCATCTCCTTCATGGAGATTTTGTACTTGTTGCGGATGAAATGGATACAGATGTTGGTCATGCAGTATCCGCCAGACACGTGTCCGAGGAACACCAGTACGTGCAGAGACTTTTCTTGTACTAGTCGTAGGGCTCTTTTGTACCATTTGAAGTACATTTTCTTCTTCCTCAACATTTCTCTCAACTCTACGTTCAGATGTGATGTGAGCACTGGGAAGTGTACCATTTTCACGTAAGTTATTAAACACGTTTGAGAATACTCTTCGGTCTGGAATGCGGCACATCGGAAAACGGCGATGATATTCTTCAACGGCTGTGGGAGCACTGCCATCACAATATCCATAAACATAAACCATATCTGCGTACTCTACATTAGAAAACACGTGCGGCATGTTTGCAGTGTGTCACAAACAGCAAGACAGATCACCAGATGTGTTTCGCTAAACTTTCCAACTGATACACAGCGCTCAGTTACGGTGAAGAATGAAATCCCAATGACGCCCCAACTTTAAATTCCGAGGTGTAATTTAACATAGCTGTATCTCGGAAACCAGTAATAAACGACACCATGTTTATATAACATTTTTGCCTTATATTACCTCATTCTATACCCCCATGAAATATTGACCTTTCCTCCCGGGACACCCTGTATATATACTTATATATACGCTCTCAAAAAAGAAAATTTTATTTATAAGATTTATTTATAAGAAGTTTATTCTTTACAGAAATTTATAACTGGCTGTAATAAATTGGTTAGTGGTAATAAGTAATTTTATTACTCGTATTCGTATTTTTACTTATTATCACTGGCCAAATTATTACAGCCAGTAATAAATTTCTGTAAGGGATATATTTATTTTTGTAAAGTGTGATGCAACTACTATGGCAGAAGCGATACACGGAGTTACAAAAACAGTCATGTTAGTTAACGCAAAGTTTCCACTTGACTTATTGTCTGTTCTAATATTCATAGCCATTATTGAAAATCTATATATATATATTATATATATATGTGTGTGTGTGTGTGTGTATGCGCGTGTATATATGATATATTGTAAGAAATATTTTTCTACGGTCTTTAAAGGTCTTTAAATCGTATATAAGCGGTTGGTACTGGCTGACACGTGATTGTAAGTCGGACTTTAATCAATCAAGGGTGGTAACCTGCGCTATGTATTAAAAAGGGAGTTATCTGTAAGTAAAGAAGAGCGAGAGATCTGCGCGGGAAGAGATCTCAGAGAGACGTGAGAGAGAACGGTCGGAGAGAGATCAGGTAAGAGATCTCAGAGAGAGCGAACCGTGAACGTCTGTCCGATAGGAACGTGAGAGAGATTTAAGAAGCACGAGGCGAATGCTAAGAGTCGCCAAGATATGGTACATGAATTACGAGCGCGTAGTCGTGAGCGAGTGAACGTTAAGAATCACAAAGTGAGAGCAATTTATTAAGAACGGGATATTTGTGAGCCCGGAATCAAAGGGACGTTTAGAAGTGATACGACCCGACGAAGGATTTGTGTGTAACGGTTGTCCGATACCGGCGATCTCCGGTTCATGTAACATTGTGTCGTATAATAAAGTTTGTGTTGTTATCACAGTACGCTCGAGACAGTGATAACTCTTCCTTGACCAAATAAAGCTATTCTGTGTTTATCAAACTCTCAGACCTGGAGATAAAAGAAATATCTTACAATATTATTTGTGTTTTCTTGTCAAACGATTTCATGTCACTTTATCAATTCTTCTCGACAGCAACTATCGAAATATATAGGAAATACATAATCGATATAACAGTCCCGATACTTTGTACAACTAAGTTATTGGAATGTTTTAAATATATGTAATATTGATTTATTATTTATCGACTATTCAAAGTAGAGAAGACTGTCTTGTCAAAGCAGTGTCTAGAGGTAGACTGTCTAGAGAGGTTTAGAGAGAATTCATATGTTTAGAAAATAGTAATTTTGGGCTGATTGTTAATCGACTATTACTCTGGTTTGTAGAACAACACTGTATAAAAGAAATAGAAATAATCTCACGTGACATTTCAGTGTAGTTCCGTCAGTCATTCGAATTATCTAAAATTAGTATTAGTAAATTAGTAGTATTAGTAGTATTAGTAAATTAGTAGTATTAGTAAAATTAGTAGTAGTAGTAACTTTCTCAAATTCAGTATTGCGCCCTTTTTATGTCCCGATAGTCGTAGTCGAAGCAAGTTCGATGTAAAATCGTCAAAGACTGTAAAATGTTCGCAAACAGTTAACATAAAACGAAAAAAAGAAATTATTCTACATCATGCAATTCTATTTTCCAAACCCCTTGCCATTTGTACTGCGAATGTTCGCGTATACGATGACGAAATCAGATTGACTGGTAAGAAGTTAATACCTACCTGTGATTCTAGGAACCGTGAAGTTGCCAATACTTGCGTTTACCACATTTCTGCCAATGCGGCCTGCGACATGGGCGCCTAAGGAAATACTGACGATGTGCAGATTCTCCGTATTGAAGCCTGTTTCTGACATGTTGTTGAGAACCGATGCAACAGCTTTTGCGATCGGATCAATGTTCTTTATTGCGTTCCTGTACGTCCCATTCACCAATTCGGCATAACTTAATGCAATGATATTGTGGTCGCTTCGGATGAGGTATGCTGAAGAAATACAACGGCTTATTTAGTCAGCATTTCGATGGATGATTGTTCGTATCGTCTAACGCAACTACATATACCTTGCACCACCATCCGCACGGTATTCTTTTGCAGATTCTCCTTGTAACCATGAATATACAACACTGTCTTTCTGTTGGGATTTAGTCTGGTTTGCAGCGAGCTAACGTCGTTCAGCGGATAATCAATGTACTCGTCCAGTGTTTTCCTAAGCGAGGTAAATGTCTGATGCTTGAAAGATATAGATTTATAGGGAAAATTCTTATCTAATCTCGCGTTGAAGGAAACGTCCATATCGCTAAAGAAATATACTAACAAAAGTCTCTTCAGTGAATAAGCTAGTGAATTAAGGACTACTTTTGCCAAGCTCCGGTTAAATTAATCTTGCAGTTTTAGTAACTTTACAGGATTTCAACTGAAGTTGCTGTAAGAAGAAATAGAAAATGAGAAGTAAAGCAGCAGCTTCGATTGGAATTTTGAGATGTTATTAAAACAGTTATTTTAACCGATTAAGATAGATATAGAAATCGTGTTGGCCCTTGCTAACTATAATTTACTGTCATCTTTATTGAACAATTTACACTGCTTTTTCGGAAAAGACGCTATGCCGCGCACTTGCTACACCGAGAACGAACGAACTACTACCTCCTTTTGTTAAGAAGAAGGCGACGCGAACGACTTCGAATCTAGCGACTTCGGATTTCCGGTGATTTGAGACAAACAGCGGTGCCAAATACGTACGTACAACTTAAGACTGTGCACTAGTCCTTGGTAAAAGTGATTCAAAAAACAGTAACATTACATTGATATTATAACTTTTTACCCAAAGTAATGCATGTCTAAGATGACACACGTTGTACATAACAATTACATTGTGTTGAGTGTAAAAAAATTGCAATAACATTGCTATAATGTTTGTGTCAGTTGCTGTTTACTGGATCTTTTATCTTGTTTCTTATACAAACATCAACCGTATGGATAATAAAGGTGCAAAGATACCCCGTGTAATGACGCAGGAAAATGCTCTCAAGATTCTCTAAGTCATCTCCGTCTGAAAGGATAAATCATATATATTCCGTGTTTATATTAAACATTATTGCACATCTACGTAATTATGTAATTGGTCTTTGCTTGTAAAGTATTTTGTTCTTCCTTAATGAAAGACAAATGATTTGCATACACATCGATACTTACCATCCGCAATAGCATACATTATTATAATAGCGAGAACGTATAGCCACAAGGCGCGAACCATCGTAAATTCAAAATTTTTCAAGAAGCGATTTGCGAGCAATCTAAATTTCGGACAACCGCGCGCATAAATATATATTTAAAGAACTGTTGTTAATGTATACGGTTTCTATTTTACGCGAAGTCTTGTTAAATAATATCAACTGGTGGTACCACTTTTTATGTGTAAAAGGAGAGAATTGCGTGCATGTCAACTTTAACTATGCCAGAGCTCGACAAAGTTTCCAACTTTCGGCCGATTCTCGGGAGCTACGCCCTACGCCTCCTATCTCCCCTTATCGCGCGGCGGATCCCAACAACTGACAGTCGCGGCTCGCGATCTCAGGACCGTTGAGATCATAAGGCGCATCTATGTGCTGCCTACTAAAGATGCGTTCGGGAAGCGCGTCGATCAGCGCTAACGCGTCATTCAATCCTTGTACATGTAATGAGCGATAAAGATATAATAACGTGTTAGCGTTGACAGCGCGCTCCTTTAACGCACTTCAAAGGCTGAAAAATAAATGTATCGATACGACTATATGTATAATATTTCGTACAAACTTGTACAAGTATATATATATATTTTTTTTTCTTATATTTTTATATAATTAGAAGGTACACAATAGGTTTCCGTGTCATCCATGAGGTACTATTGCCAACGCGTTTTTTTTTTAAGTAGTATCCCCTGTAGGCCTATTCCACTGAAGAAGAAGAGAAAAACAGCAACTTTTGATCGGCAATGGGAACTTAAAAAGAAGAAGAAATTAAACCAATTTTCGAATACTGTGCGACTGTACAAGTGATGAAATATCAACATCAAAGTTTGAAGTTCTTGCTAGCATTAAAGAGGATAAAGATGCATCATTTAAAGAAGAACGTTTATCCGTTTTCGTTAATTCCATTTTAGAAAAAGAGCTCTCGCATAGATATGTGGAGCCGAACATAGAAAAAATACAAAGACTAAAATTTATTAAAAGAGGATAAGAAGATTGCTTTAAAATCTTAAAAAAATCAATTCCTTTTTCTGGCTGCGCCTTAAGGGAAATATCAGTTTGAAGACGGCAAAGTTCCTCTTGAAATTCTAATTTCTGTTCCTCAATTTGAGCAGTGAGAGGATTTTCAAAAAGAATTAAATCATTCCGAAGTATTGCGATATCACTAAAACGCGTCTCGAATTGAGTTATTATTGACTCAAGAATGTCAATGTGTCGTTTGAAATCAATTTTATTATGTTCCTCTGCAAGAATCTGGCAACATGGAAAGAAATGAAAAATATATTGTATTAAATGATTTTTCAGTATTATTAACTTTCTCTGAAAAGAATCTACACTACTAATCAATTCAGAAATATTTTGATTCGGCTTTTGCAGCTTTAAATTTAATGAATTGAGATGAGTAGTTAAGTTAGTTATTACTGCGAGTTCAGAAAGTAATTCTAAATTAGTGAAAAAGTCTTGAAATTCTTTGTATTTTGAAATGGAATGTTCTTGCAAGAAAAGGAAGACTTCTTTTCTTATTGCAAAGAACTTCTCTAAACATTTACCAGCACTAAGCCAACGAACCTCACAATAAAGTGGTACATCCGTGTAGGCTGCATTATGCTCTGCGAGAAACTGCTGAAACTTTCGATGAGAAAGAAATTTGTTACCGCCCTTAATAAAATTTATTATTTTTGTCACCATTTGAATCGCACTACTTAATTTCATAGCTTTCCCACATAACGCTTCTCGATGAATAATACAATGAATCATAGGAATATTAAAATTTCGCTGCTTTAATTGCCCGAAGAATCCTGTTTTCCTGCCAGTCATTGCTTTTGCACCAGTAATGATAGCCGAGCATTTGGAAAGGTCAATATGAAATTTGTTGAGAATAGTTTCGACAGCTGTAAAAATATCGGCGCCTGTCGTTGTGCCATGCAGAGGAACGAAACCTAACAGCTTCTCGACACATGAAAAATCTTGTTGTGCAATTCGAGCGAATATGCTTAATTGACTCACGTGTCGATTATCGGTACTTTCGTCAAAACAGAGAGAAAAATAACTACAAGTTGCCAATAGAGATTGCAGTTTGTCTTCAATGCAATCCGCGATATTTGCGATTCTCGATGAAACTGTTTTAACGCTAAGAGGAATGCTAGAAGCTTCTTTAATATCTAAGGAACCGCCAAATGCATTAACTGCGTCGATAATGCAATCTTTTATAAATTTACCATCGGTGAATGGTTTTGAATGTTTCGCGATCATATGTGAAATCTTATATGATGCAACAAGAGCTTTTTCCAATGTATTCCAATGTATTTCCAATATATATTCTTTTTAATAGCTATATGTCAACATTGCATAATCACAAAAGAGCGGGAAAATCTATTCAATTTAAAATTGATTTCATAACTGCTTAAAATAATTTGGATTATTCATTTGTACATCTAATATTATTTCTTTCCTATTACTCTGTACTTAAGGGTCTACAGGAGCCATACTAGAGACCTCTCGAGGAGACTCGTGAACTAGGCAAAATTATATTGCAAATTATGAACAAAATACGAAGAGAATCACCTTATATGTGTAGGTTGCGTGAAAAGTTCGCGGAACGAAACTGAAATAAAAGATACCTAATTCAAAAAATGATTTTATTCTTCAATATAGTCTTCATTAACATCAATACACTTGGCCCAATGGCTCTCCAATAATTTTATTCCATCGCGGAAGTGTGTTTCTGGAAGGTCTGCGAAATATGCCTCTACGGTTGCTATAGCTTCTTCATTTGACAAAAAATGCTTTCCACGGAGGAATTGTTTTAGGTTTCGGAACAGATAGAAGTCGCTAGGTGCCAAATCTGGCGAATACGGTGGATGATCAAGCAATTTGTACTCCAATTCATTGAATTTAGACATTGACAAAACACTTGTGAGCAGGTGCGTTGTCTTGGTGAAAAATAATTTGTTTGTGCTGCAAACCAGGTATTTTCTCATGAATTTTTGCGTCCAATTGATCCAGAAGGTTACAATAATATTCAGAGTTAATTGTTTTACCTTTTTCCACATAGTCGATTAACAAAATCCTTTTAGCATCCCAAAAAACTGATGCCAAAACCTTTTTTGCCGATTTTTCATGCTTTGTTTGCTTTGCAGCTGAACATTCAGCTTCAGTCCACTGTAAACGTTCCTGTTTCAATTTAGGATCATGGTGATAGATCCCAGTCTCATCCATAGTTATAAAACAACGCACAAAATCGGTTTTATTCTTCTTAAAACGATCCAAATGACGCTGAGAAATTTGCTTTCGAGCGAGTTTTTATTGAATTGTTAACGTATGCGGCACCACTTTTCCAAACACCTTTTTCATTTGTAATTCTTTATGCAAAATATGCCGTATCCGTTCATTTGAAATGCCTATGATATGAGCAATTTCCCGCGTAGCCACACTTGGATCTTCAGAAACAATAATATGTATTTGCTCAATGATTTCTGGTGTTGATGCGCTTTTTGGACGTCCACTGCGTGGATCATCTTCAATGCTTGTACGACCACGTTGAAACTCAAGTGTCTATTTACAAACCATTGTTTTTGAAGGAGCAGATTCCCCTAACACATTTACCATCTCGGAATGAATTTACATTGCCTTTAAACCTTTTTTAACAAAGAACTCAATCACTGCACGCTGTTTTCCATTGCAAATAAATATACTGACACGTCAACTTCAATTGGCTTTTAAACACAGAAGGAATTGACAGATGAAAATAAAACTTAACCTAGGTTCATGTGAAGAGTGATTCTATATAACCGACTACAATTTATAATTCTACCGTTTATTTATTGATGCCGCTCCGCGAACTTTTCACGTAACCCGTATGATATTTGTAATCAGGAGAAACGTCCGCATGCTCATACAAAGCGCTTTTTTGGAAAAAAAGGTTTAAATAAACATCGAATAAAAATTTTGAATGAAAGTGCATCCCGCGGTGCAGCACGAGCCTATATTTCCATTTATTACAATTTTTCAAGAACTTAAATGCAAAATCGGGCTCTATTCCTTTGTCTTCCGGTCTTCGTTATTATAAGTACTTTCATTGTGCAAAAGGATTTTTCAATCTGTAATAAGCTAATAAAAAGATTAGTGTTTGAAACTCTCTCGTATCTTCGTTCCCTCGATCGCACGCTCATTAGGTTGCATTCACAATCAGTCGGAAGACGTTGTTATATTCCACACGTATGTCGTACATACCAATCACAACCTCACATGTAATGTCTTAAATTAAATTAGTTATATATATACATATATATATATATAATTTAATTTATAATTTATATGTACGTATGTATATATATATATATATTAGCAGTATAAATAAGTTTCCGCCGTTTGACAAAAGATGGCCCCACCAGAAGGTTATATTGAAATTGTCAGATGTAAAACATAATATCGTAAATTTGGACATCTGGTAACAACATAACCTTGAAGTATTAATGACTCCGTATCAGCATCACATAATTTTTCTCGTGCGAAAATGTCAAGTTTTGTGCCGAATAAGCGTCATTTGCGGGAACTTTGATTTACTTCTTTAATTTGAAGAAATCTGCAGCTGAGGCGCATCGATTGTAGAAGCATATATATATATATATATATATATATATATATATATATATGGTGAGACTGCTTTAAGTGAGAGAAGTTGTCGTGAGTGGTTTCAAAAGTTTAAAAACGGTGAGTTTGACGTGGAAGATAAAGAACGTAGTGGAAGGCCGAAAGTGTACGAAGACACGGAATTGGAAGCATTATTGGAGGAAGATTCATGCCAAACGCAAGAAGAATTTGTATTTACATTAGAAGTGACTCAACAAGCAATTTCACATCGTTTAAAATCGTTGGGAATGATTCAAAAACAAGGAAATTGGGTTCCACATGAACTGAAGCCGAGAGATGTTGAACGCCGATTTTGCACGTGTGAAATACTGCTTGCCAGGCATAAAAGAAAGGGTTTTTTTGCATCGTATAGTCACTGGTGATGAAAAATGAATCCACTACGATAACCCAAAGAAGAAAAAATCATGGGGACCACCTGGCCATGCTTCAACATCGACAGCTAAACCGAATATTCATGGAAAAGAACTCATGCTGTGTATTTGGTGGGTTCAGCTTGGTGTCGTGTATTATAAGTTGTATTATAAGTTGCTTAAACCGAGCGAAACTATTACTGGAGCTCTCTACCGAACACAATTAATAAGATTGAATGCATGAGAGGTTGAAACAATTAATGCAATTAATGATATTGATACAAACATATACTTTTATGTACTGAATGTTATTGACAGTATGTACTGAATGTTATTGACAGATGTCAAAACGAACTATTAAACTTCGTTTCGACATTACAGGTTAACGACAGTTCTAGCTATAGCTAGTTGCCGCTAAATGGACGGAACTTTCCTAATAGTATTATATCTAATAGTATTAACCTAATAGTATTTACCTAATAGAAGAATTTATCTAATAGTATTATACCTTTTTATCACCTTTCATTATATT